TCAAGGTATTATACGCCTCACTGAATTCATCCACTTTACCCTCTGTTTTGTCTGTATGTGTACCTTGATGTTGCATCTTTTTACAAAGCTCTAACTAAATGACTTACTGGCAGATTTTATATTAGGGCAGAGGTCCTGTAGCATCACCTGTAGGATCTTCGTATACAATAAAATGAAGTTGCAAAACCGTAATTCTAATGAATACTGCCTATAAAACAATGGGTAGTTTTTTGGTTACGTTCCTGTGATGGTCAGTTGATATATGTCAAAAGATAAAAGAAAAATATTTTTATGTAACTTCATGCTTTTAAACTCCAGTTTGTCTTATAACTCCATGTCAACACATTATTTTGCATATGTGCAATAGAATGGATTATTTTAATATCGTACTCTATATTTGTTTCCTATGTGCTTTATTTTGTGATTGAGACACATTGGATTGTACCTAAATATTATCCTGGAACCATTGTGATTTAAAGGACCACTATAGGGTCAGGCACACAAACATGTATTCCTGACCCTATAGTATTAGAACACCATCTAACCCCCTTGCCCCTCTCCTGTAACCCTCTAAATATAGTAAAAGCTTACCTTTATTCCAGTCTGCAGTTGCTAGCTCTGCCCCTGATCTGCCTCCTTGGCTGACATCATCAGTAGTGGTGATCTCAGCCAATCACAATGCTTTCCCATAGGAAATTATACTCCCTGATTATACTTACCAGAACAAATACAATAACCTTTAGTTGTTCTGGTGACTATAGTGTCCCTTTAAGTGTGGTAATAACAGGGCAACTAGTGTAATCTCTATTAAGAGAGTTCAACTTGATCAGCACAACAAATGGGATTCAGGGAAACTGCAACATAAATAGTTTTATTTATGTATCATAGTTTATTTCTGTGATGAAGTCATTTTCTGTGATAAAGTATTGCATAGTAGTAGCTCATGTTCCTCTAATTGTTTAAATTGACACTCCACTGCCCATTTAATTATGCATTAATTATTTTTTTTCTTGTCTGAAACTTTTGCAAGCCCTCCCCTTCTAACTCTTCACACATAAAAGCACTTCAGCGAGTTCAATTACTTTAGGAGTCAGGAGTGTCCCTTTAAGTTATGATTGTCAGTGTTATGCCGTTAACCAATTATGATTATTATTAATGGTATTTTGTAAAGAGAGACTGGATAAAATGAAGACCTTTTAACTACTCATATTAAATCTAAGCTTAATCTTTGCAATATTTGATGACATTCAGTTTTCTAAGGGCCATTGATTATTGAGATCAAAACAGTTTTATAGCTGTATTTTAATATATCTGTCAGGATCTTATCCTGACAACCAAAATTATGTTTCTTTTCTCCGGTTTGATTTTCTACAATTACAGTTTTACACCACTAGTTGCATCCCTAGCAACTAGTCTAACATCGGTTACTCTCACCTGCATAGCATGATCATTAAATCTGCTATAAGAGTCCACACCCTGCTAAAGCAATTTGCTTTTACATTGATTGAAGTTTATGTTCTGATCCTGATAAGACGTCTGATCCTGGTTCATACTGAGAAAACCTGCACTACTCTGAATACCATTGAACCCACCTGATTTATACTACCAACCTACTTCATCTATAACCTGCTTGCTATCAATATGCTTGGAGGGGGGGGGGGAAGAGAGAACCTGATCATCAATACCAACCTGCTTTATTTGATACTGGACTTAGATCCCTTATTGATTTGGTTCTAACCTACTGTACACCTACCAGAAACTATGCAACCTACCTGGATATTACAAACATTCCTATTATTTGCAACTATCAAACTGCAGTTCTGCCTCCAAACCATAGAGGCTGATCCACTAAATGTCTAACTTGTATTATTTCATCCTTTATATTTCTGTTTAGTTTTGTCTACCTGGATCCTATAGTTTCATTTATAGGTTTTCCTTATCTTGATTCACCTATAATCTCTTATAGGTTTTCCTGCTACCTTAAACCTGTCAGGGGCATATTGCCTAACTCTTGTTTTCTAACCTCTCCTTATACTTGCCTATAATTTCATTTATAGGTTCTCCTTCTTACTGTGGCCTATAATTTCGTTTATAGATTTTCCTGCTACTTTATCTTGGGCTTATTGTCTAAACTCTATATTTTATAGCCCTCAATATACTTGCCTGTAATTTTTTTGTTTCTAGGATCTACTTTCTCCCTTTGTCTTTTATTTCCATTTCCCTTTAAGTCCTGTTACTCTTATTTCAAGACTAAGAACCTAAACTTAACCCTGGTATAAGTCTCTCTCTTATCTGACCTGATCAGAACCATGACAATATCTGAGACCAGAGGCTAGGCCTGTGTGAAGGAGCAATTGTATTACTACTTTGGGTCATTTTCACAGGTAAAAATCCATTTTTATTTAATTTTTATTTTTTTTAAGGTAAATAATATATGGATAGTCAAGCTTGATATCTACTGGGTGTGTACATATTACATAGAACATTCTAATTTACTGGATTTTAATCCCTCAGTTGGAACCCCAAAATAAGCCTTGATGTCACTTAGTAAAACAAGAACTAATTGGCCCTTAGAGATAGGAATGATTGACTGACTTTAAAAGTATCTATTTTTAAGAAGCAATGTTAAATGACAGACACAATACTCCATGCTCTACAAATAGGGGGATTTTAGATTTGGGGAGTTTAGGGCTTAAGAACACAGTGTTTACTAAAATGAGAAGTCAAAGCGGATTTAAGGCCAAAATAGCCAAACTAGAAAAACTCTCAGTCCGTTATACTTTCAGTACTGATCCTTTGGCCTTAAATTTGTACAATAACCCTGTTAATCTACCAAGTACTAACCTTGCTTTGATTGTTTTGCCTTTTTTTTTTTTTTTTTGACAGTTTAATGATACATGTTCTGTCTAAATTATTTTACTACCACTGCAACCCACCAATAACTAACAAATCAGGAAAAACGTTGCATAGTATTCCATTGCTGTATAATATTCATTAAATACACATTCCATTTGTAGTTCACTCGTTGTTGTACATTATGCAAATAATGCACTAGAAAATATAAGACAGGGGGGAAAAAATGTATCTAGAAATAAAAAACCTAAAAAGATACTCACATTTGACATAACTATTTTTACTACAGCTTCTGCATTGAGCTCTCATCAAACTAGGAAGTGACTCAGACAATCATGCTCACATTTGATTGTATGGTAGTGCTTTATAGGCACTTTTTGGGCCTTATGCAAACTGGTGAACTACAACTTCCATTGGTCATGCTATCATGTACAATTGTATTTTTGGAGCAAAAGGGGAACCACTGTAGGTTTTGAGGGTCTAATTGTGGCAAACAAATATAGTATTATTAAACACCCACCCTAACTATCTGTAACATAACCTACACGTTACTTCATACAAATTGCTACCTGAAGTGCTTGTGCTTTGCAGTTTATCTATTCATTTTCCTCCTGTGACATTCTAATACTTCAGAGAATAGTGATTTTCATATGATGCGTCAGAGGAACACTTGTATCTCAATCAGAAAAGTGCCGACAAATGTGTGCAGAACAAATTGTTTGTTAATGTTGCAATTTCAAAGCATCGATCTTTAGATTATGCGACTGTCGATAAAGGCCGAACACTGCCCAATTTTGATGATCTCCAACTTCTGTGGTGCAACCAGCAGAAAAAGATTGATATTTTTTGGATTATACTTGTTTTGAAGACACACACTTAATTTGAATATCTTCAAATATTAAATTTTTTTTTGTCAATCTTTATTTGAGACAATAAGAGTTTACAGAACAAAAGTACCGGTTTAACAGTATCCACATAGATATTCAATCGAGTCATAAAGGAAATATCAAGAACAGTGAATTGATACACAAGCTTATTATACTCTCCTCCTGGCATTATTTTAACTATAAACCACAAGCTAGGTTCATGCGTCGAAGCATTAGAAGATGAATACATTCAAACATTAAAGGATCACTATAGTGTCAGGAAAACAAACGCGTTTTTCTGACACTATATAACCATTAGGTCCCCCCTCCCTTGGCGCTGAAGGGGTTAAAACCCCTTCAGTTACTTGCTTTAATCTCGTCGGCTGCCGAGCGGAATGCGCATGCTCGGCAAGAGTCGCGCGTGCATTCAAACATTCCATAGGAAAGCATTTCCCAATGCTTTCCTATGAACGTTCTGCACGCGATTTTCACATCCAGCGTCGCAGAAGCGCCTCTAGCTGCTGTCAGGAAGACTGCCACTAGAGGCTGGATTAACCCTGCAATGTAAACGTAGCATTTTCTTTAAAACTGCTATGCTTACATCTGAAGAGTTAAAACCCGGGGTCCTGGCAACCAGACCACTTCATTGAGCTGAAGTGGTCTGTGTGACTATAGTGTCTCTTTAACAGGCTTAGGTACAGGATTAAGTGCAAGGTATATCCGTTTATAAGTGTAACTGTAAGGTCGCAAGGATGAACATATATAATGTGGGAATTCCCTATCATATAGCATTGGCTCATTTTTATAGTAAATAAACAAACAGAAATTTACAGGCTATACTGACCTGTCAGAACTGACATAAAGGTTAATAGTTTTGAGGAATAATAGTGAATTGTAATGTTGCTTAACCTTACTGAGCGTGCCAATCGGCTGCTATGCTGCCCTGCAGGCTACATTTGATTTGGGCAGCACCACGTAGCACACTGAGTTTGCCACTAACTAGGAAAGCTGTCTGATAAGCTAGAAATGCATATAAAGGTACTTTAAAACATGCGGAGGCGGGTACTGAATAGGATACTGCACAACAGGCTAGTTATACAAGATGAAGCTAGACCTATTTCTGTGGTTGCCATTAAGTGACAAAGCTGCATAACAGGCAAGAGCTGCAGGAGTTAATGACAGAAAAATGCACTGTACCAATAAAACGTAAAACTATATTATATGTTGGAGATGCTAATCTAGTAGTGCATAAAAAAAATATCAAAATAGTGCTCAACATGTTGGAGTCAAATGAAGGTAAAACCACTGGATCCTGTAGACTTGTAAAGGCTCTGGATCATAGGTATGGCTGGCAGAAGCGTGCACCCGATAGATAGGTCAGTCTTAGCCGATGCCCACATGTGGTATATGCATGATGGAGGCAGGGGATATGCATGATAGAGGCAAAGGCAGCAGCACGATGGAAGCGGTATAGTCCATCCCTCCAGCCCCAGGCTGACTTGAGGGCCAGCATCTTCAAGCCACGGACCTGGAGGCTCAGTGAGGCCAAGTCCTTCCCACAGCGTGGGCGACGAAGGACCCTCGTGTTTAATCGCTGCCTGTGGCAGGGAACTCTCCGTTGGTGTGGTTGGTGCTTTGGGGTTAATATCCTTGAGGCCCTTGGGCTAGGTAGGCTGAGCTTAGTCTGGCAGTGTCCTAGCCCACTTGGGGACTATCCACTCCCGGGTTTACACCTCTCCAAACTCCCTCCTTAGACTGCCTCCATGTGGCTGTTGCACGGCTTTCCAGAGTAGCCCAGAATCGGGCAAAGTGCTTGTCCAGTCGTTGAAGCGATTGCTCTGTGTAGCTGTGTAGGAGCTCTCCTGCATACTGTGGAATCGGTTCGTGTGATAATTATATAGCATGACCATTTTATATTAATTATATGAAAAATTACTTGAGAAATGTCAACGTGCAATTCTTGATAAAGTAAATATTGCTATAGATTAGATCTAGCTCTATAAATGTATTCAGTAATGAACATAATATTTTAATGAGCAATTTGTGTTTCTCCCCCTAAATATTTAATATAATCAGCGTGTAAAGATATAAGATTTACACAACTGATTGTTTAAATGCATGTAATAATGTAGTTAATGTCATGATATTGTTTATTTTAATATAACATATTTGACAATTCCCTGATATGTCCACTAGATGGCACTGACACATTTTCAATTTACTGAAACAAATAAAATGCATTTTTCTCAAGAAATTCATTAAGGGTAAAATATTAATCATAAAAATTATATGTTTCCAGAAATACATCAGAATATTTTTAATAGAAAAGAGAGCTTCAGTAAATAGAAGCTTTATGAATTACCAGTATTCAATATTAATAAATTATCAGTATTCCTTCTATTATCTATGTAATTTTAAATATTCAGTAGATTATAAATATAATTAAGCTGCCGTTATTTACCTGTTAGGGCTCTGAGAGTGTGCATTACATACAATGTTGGGCTGGGTATGGCAGGTATTAAAATTTAAAGGGAGATAGGCAGAGTTCAAGCTCTAATAAAAAAAAAGCATGGGTGCTCATCAAGATCGCACATTTCAATCAGTGCTATTTCTTAAATGGGCACTCCAGGCTCAGGTTGATTATTCTTTTATGGCATTAAATTGGAAATGCATTAAACGTGCAAATAAATGATAAATTAAATAGGTACTGAACATTAAAATGTATGTGTTTGCTGCCATTAACACATTTTTGCTTCTTTCTGTTCTAAACACTGCCCAGACTAAAAAGCAGATACTGCTTTTCAGTCAATCCTCATCTTCTTATTATTCCAAACTGAACGGTAACCATATCCCATAAGCCTCTGCAAAGCTCAGAGTGTATTTGAGCAAAGTATCAAAGATTGTATGATTGAGATGTACGTGGAAGTGTTTAGGTTCAGTGCGTGGATGTTTTTGTGGAGTCTCAACGAGTGAATGCAGGTGGTGTTTTTAGGTCAGTGGGTGAATGCATGGGAAGTTGTGCGGACAGTTTGTGTGTGAATCCAGGGAGTACTTGTGTGAATGTAGTTATGGCGGTATGTAGGATTGGGGTGTGAATGTGGGTAATGCTTGTATGTAGGATCAGGGTGAGAATGCGGGTAATATCAGTGTGTTGCTGGGAAAGTTTTTGTTGAGGGTCATGGTTTGAATGCAGGGGGTGTTTACATAGAGGATCATGGTGTGAATGCAGGGGGTGTTTTTGTAGAAGGTCATATTGTGAATGCAGAGGGTGTTTTTCTCGAGGGTCATGGTGTCAATGTAGGAGGTGTTTTTGTAGAAGGTCATGGTGCAGGGGGTGATTTTGTAGAGGGTATTGGTGTGAATGCAGAGGATATTTTTGTAGAGGGTCATGATGTGAATGCAGAGGGTGTTTTTGTAGAGAGTCATGGTGTGAATGCAGAGGGTGTTTTTGTAAAGGGTCATGGTATGAATGCAGGGAGTATTTTTGTAGAGGGTCATGGTGTGAATGCAAGGGGTGTTTTTGTAGAGGATCATGGTGTGAATGCAGGGGGTGTTTTTCTAGAGGGTCATGGTGTGAATGCAGGGGGTGTTTTTGTAGAAGGTCATGGTGCAATGGTGATTTTGTAGAGGGTGTTGGTGTGAATGCAGAGGGTCATGGTCTGAATGTAGGGGGTGTTTTTGTAGATGGTCATGGTGTGAATACAGAGGGTATTTATGTAGAGAGTCATGGTGTGTATGCAGGGGGTGTTTTTGTAGAGGGTCATGGTGTGAATGCAGGGGGTGTTTTTGTAGAAGGTCATGGTGTGAATGCAGGGGGTATTTTTGTAGAGGGTCATGGTGTGAATGCAAGGGGTGTTTTTGTAGAGGGTCATGGTGTGAATGCATGGGGTATTTTTGTAGAGGGTCATGGAGTGAATGCAGGGGGTGTTTTTGTAGAGGGTCATGGTGTGAATGCAGGGGGTGTTTTTGTAGAGGGTCATGGTGTGAATGCATGGGGTATTTTTGTAGAGGGTCATGGTGTGAATGCAGGGGGTGTTTTTGTAGAGGGTCATGGTGTGAATGCGGAGGGTGTTTTTGTAGAGGGTCATGGTGTGAATGCAGGGTGTGGTCATCTGGATTGTCAGTTTGTGGTCGGCAACAGAGATGAAATGCAACCAGCGTTAGACTGGCAGAGCGTGGGAATGTTTTGGCAGCATATTAAGGTAACAGTGTTGCCACTGCCCTCTACCTCTGCAGACTCATAAGGTACCTAGCATAGTGCAGACAGAATATAATTTGCAAATAGCAGAGAAAAAAAGAAATCAGTGATTCCTGGATCACACTGGCATATCTCCCATCTATGGCTAGCAGATCACCATATTTCGTCTGGGCACGTATGACTCATTCATATTGATGGGCAGAACAAATGCTGCTAAATTCAAACATGCTGTAGAATTCAAATTATTCAAGAGGGAAAGGTATTATGGAATCCTTCAGCATAGGAATTCTACATTCTGTGAGACAGCATGTTTTGTGTGCCACCCAGCACAGTGATATGTGTCCAGAACAAACATGGTGGGCCTGGCAATAGAATTCTCATAAAATGTGACAGATCTATTGTGGGATTTTTGCTTTCTTGTTGATTTGTATTGTATAACGCCTTCTGAATTCATTAGATGGTCACTGCATACCCCAAACCAACTTTAGCTTGCTGAAATGCTTTATGTGCCCTCTTTTTTTTCATTTTTCAAAAAGTGCAGATTTTAATAGAAATTTACTCTTTTACACCCTGTTCCAAATGATTATGCAAATTCTATATTTTTTTCTCATTTACCTAAATAATTGATGTAAATACCAGTCAGCATAATTCTCATGTTATCACCTTTTAAGAGTACAATTCAAATTTTATTGAACAAACCCACTAATGATAACAGTATTTTTTTTAAACATAAAAAAACTTCTAATGCACTGTTCCAAATTATTACGCACAGTAAGTTTCAAAACACTTTATAGGTTGTAAAGAACTGAAAATTGTCATTTGTTGTGTTTGCAGCATATTTACTGAAATCAAAAGCTATTTCAATCAAACTTATAACAACATTTTAACTTTTTAAACATTTTAACAGGTCACGTTACATTTTAACATAGGACCCCTTATTTGATAGCAGCTTCACAAGTCTTGCATCCTTTGAACTTGTGAGTTTTTGGACAGTTTCTGCTTGAATTTGTTTGCAAGATGTCAGAATAGCCTCCCAGAGCTGCTGTTTGGATGTAAACTGCCCCCCACCCTCATAGATCTTTTGCTTGAGGATACTCCAAATGTTCTCAATAGTATTGAGGTCAGGGGAGGATGGAGGCCACACCATGACTTTCTCTCCTTTTATCCCCATAGCAGCCATTGATGCAGAGGTATTCTTTGCAGCATGAGATGATGCATTGTCATGCATGAAGATGATTTTATTACGGAAAGCATAGTTCTTCCTTCTGTACCAGGGAAGAAAGTGGTGAGTCAGACCCTCCATACTTTAAAGAGGTCATCTTTACACCTTCAGGGACCCTAAAGGGACCAACCAGCTCTCTTCCCATGATTCCGGTCCAAAGCATGACTCCACCACCACCTTGCTGACTTCGCAGCCTTGTTGGAACAGGGTGGCCGTCCACCAACCATCCACTACTCCATCCATCTGGACCATCCAGGAATGCACGACACTCATCAGTGAACAGGACTGTTTGAAAATTAGTCATGTATTTTTCTGCCCAATGCAGCCGTTTCTGCTTGCGAGCATTGGTTAGTGGTGGCCGATAGAAGGTTTATGCACAGTTGCAAGACTCTGGAGGACTCTACAACTTGATGTCCGTGGGACTCCAGAGGCACCAGCAGCTTCAAATATCTATTTGCTGCTATGTAATGGTATTTTAGCAGCTGCTCTCTTGATCCGATGCATGGATCTGGCAGAAATCTTCCTCAATGTGCCTTTATCTGCATGTACTCGTCTGTGCTCTGAATCAGCCACAAATCTCTTAATAGTGCGATGATCACGCTTAAGTTTTCGTGAAATATCTAATGTTTTCATACCTCGTCCAAGGCATTGAACTATATCACTCTTTTTGGCAGCAGAGAGATCCTTTTTCTTCTCCATATTGCATGAAAATGGTGCTATGCTTAATAATGTGGAACACCCTCCTTTAGTACTTTTTCCTTGAATTGGGCTCACCTGGCAATCTAATTATCACAGGTGTCCGAAATTGTTTTCAGTGATCAATAGAGCCCTGAGACGCAATGCCATCCATGAGTTAAACTGAAAAACAAAATATTTAATCTTTGTGACACAAATGGAATTTGCATAATAATTTGGAACAGGGTGTGTAAATTAACCTGGTTACACCTCCTTGGCTTTCAAGCAGACAAGAGGGGCTGTCGGGGCCATCTTTGACAGGGGGGGGGCAAATGGGGTAGCTGCCCCGGCCCAGTTACTCCTGGGGGGCCCAAAGCAGCTGCCCCGTCACTGATCCTAAAATAAATTGTTGGGGCAGCAGGCCTGCACACTGAGGGCCAGCGGCAGAGGGATGTCGAGCCCCCTTCCTTGAGCGAGCAGATCAAAAGATCTCCCTGCCAGCTGTTACAAATGGACTTCCTGGTGGTCCAGTGTGCTGCTGGGACTGGG